ATGCCCATTATTCCATTAAAAATAGAAGGAGATCGGCATATTTTGAGGTCCTATTACTATTTTGTGACACATTTTTATTGAACGCATATATTTAATTTAATTAAAAGCTGGGGTAAAATTTCAAAATATACTGATATAAAAAGCTGAAGGGTTTGTTTGTTTGTTTGAATGCGCTAATATCTGGAGCTACTGTTTCGAATTGAAAAATTATTTAAAAAAACAAACAGAAATATTTTTTTCCTATTGGTCAATAGGAACGAAGAAACAGCGGTAAATGAGGATGAAACGGGAAAAATTATTCATCTTTGTGGGTTTCCATTGAGAGCGCTGCGAAAACGGTTCAAGATACCCGAAAAATGTATAATATAATGATTTCTCTTTAAATGATCTATAACTATTCCACGCAGACAAAGTCGCTGACAGAGCTAGCATTAATATATATGATAACATAAGACGTATGACGACTAGATTTAATAAAAAATTTCGTGCACCTAAGTTGAATCATATTTATTGATTCCTATACTCTATATTCTTAAGTAACATCTTCCATTACCAGCCAAAGGCCCCATTATTGTCATAACTAATCTTGTACTCCGAAGATGAATCATATGGTGACAAAGGTATGTAGACTTTCTACATTTTAATTGACTGTTACGCTTATCTCGTGTACCTTTTATCATGAGACCGATGTCAACATTCTATGAACGGTCGGCATCAAAACATTGCTTATCACTAAATATTAGTACTTGCTGCAGGACACAAAAAATATATTTTCTTTATGTTTTAATATTGGAGTAGGGTTTAGTTTTTAACAATAATATTGCTTTTAATTATTTATTTTACCTTATACCTTCTAGTTAATCGTTTAATTTTTTAATATTTTAATCGGCGTCGTCTCCCCGTGACTACTGCAAAGTATCCAAAACGTCGGGCCGTAGTTAAAATAATTTTCAAATAAGTTTTACTAATACATATCGCGTTTTAAACCGTTAAATTATTTAATTTAAATGTGCACTACTCGCGTAAACTACAGACAGTATTTATAATCAAAAGATATTAAGAATATTATTCCCAACTAAAAAAGTTAAACGTGATAGGTACCTATAGGTAGGTATGGTTTGTTTTGTTTTTGAACGTACTATACTTATGATGCTGATTCGCTGTCAAAAAGGTAAATTATTCTACCTGCGTCATCAGGAATGTCAAATATCTTTTTTGGTCCTATCTCGCTTGTCGCGCAGCTGTTTTAAAGAAATCCGTGTTTGAGCAAAGCTCTTAAGGTGGTCTTGTTTTGTGACATTGTGACACCTGCTTCCTTCTTAAAGCCACTCTGCTATCAGATCTGTTTCAAACAACAAGTTATCTTACATGAGAGGCTTTTGTGGTTATCCCGAGATAACTTTTTTGTGATCAATTGAATCATAGGTAAATGTACAAAGTAGTAAAGCAAAACTTAAAATCTATTTAGATTTAAGAAATTCGACGATGTCTTGTGAGACACGTGTTTGTAGCTCAATTGATTGGAGCAGTAGGTTGCCGGTTCAAGTCCCGCCCGTGTCAACGTTTTATTTTCCAATCTAAATAGATTCTTAAATATATTATTGTATCATGTGCAGTAACATGTTATGTATATTAAAGTTATCAAAAGAACACTAGTTTAAAATGTGAGGATCGATTCGAACTGATATCACTTTGCTAGAAATATCATATAAGTACATCACAATAAATGATAACGTCCGAGTTTACTACTGCGTTCAATCTTAAATTCAGTTTCCAAAAATACGAAATAATAATTAGTAGTGTTATTAGTGTGCCAAATATTTGAATGCTTGTAGGGCATAAATGCGGTGAAAGCAACGGGTTAGGCTAGTTATATATCCAAATTGAAATTTTTATTCAAATTACGTGCCAACTTTACAATGACGTAATTAAAACATTGAAAAGCTTTTAAACTCTTCAATCTTTTTTTAATTGTGTTAAAGAGGTCTTTCAAAACTTTACGTAATGAATGAAAGTGAAGGATCTGTGATCATTAGTTTAAAATTATTAGTTACATATTTTTGAGAATGTAGAAAATTATATATACGTAGAAATAGTTACTGCATAAAATAAAATAGAAGAAAGTACGAACACAACAACAAACGTACAATTAAAGTCGACAAAAAAATACTACAGTGATGGTGAAATTGCGTTTTCCTTTAGGGCCACGGGGCAAACACATTTGTGTGTCCGTTTCACTGGTCGACTTTAATTACAGTAGATTCTTTGGTCTACCCGAACGAATTAATTTACTGTTTCCCGAGGATTCGAACTCAGGACCCTTCGTGCTTAACGCGATAGTAATAAGCAACACGTTATTGAGGCGGCTAAGAAAAATATCCAATTTGAACTGAACGAGTACGGTATTAAAATTTAAATAAAACACGTTTCGGATGCTTTGCAGCAGACGTCTCTCCGTGACAACGGCTGCTGCAAAGCATCCGAAACGTCGGGCCGAAGTTAAAAATCATTATCAAATAAGTTTAACTAATATATCGTGTTTTAAACCGTTAAAGTGTTTTATTTAAATGTGTACTACTCGCGTAAACTATAGACAGTATTTAGTTTACACCTTTTTTTAAACTATTTACTTTTATTGAACAATTACTTTATTAAATAGTTCTACTTTATTTATATCTCTAATTATATTTGCTCTAATGTAGGATAAAGCCAATACCTAAAGCCTGCAACACTTTTTGATGCTAACTTAACTTCTAAACCGCTGAAAAGTTTTTACTCCAAATACATCCCCATTGATAAAACCCGGACACAATTACTTGAACATTACAATGCGTAACACGAACCCAGCCAGTCACATTAACATGGACCAGATACATACATATCTCTCGCCGATAAAAAAATAACGTTCTACATTAAGGGGAGGGCTTAATTTAAATATTTTCTTGCAGCATCCCGTCCTCGTTGCTCCTGCGGTGTACCCGTACCGCTATCTCTTTTCCACTAGCAATAATTCACGGGGACAAGTCGGGTAAATTACTTTTTAAGTGAACCCTACAGAGCAGAGTTGGTTTTTTAAGGAAAATGTTTAGTTACGTCCTTTGCTCCATTAGCCAACGTCTTTATGGCTCAACTGATACTCTTTTTATTTGCCTTTAATGGTTATTTTAGTATTGTTCCCTTGTAAGACAATTAAATTAACATTTTTTCGCATAAAACCTGCAACAAGCGGTTGCATTATTTGGTTATCCTGAAACATGAATAAAAAGAATTTTCATATTAGCAAATTAATCTATGAAAAAATGGTTTTGTATTTTTTTATTCATTACAGACACATAATACAACTTTTAAGCTAGAAAACCAGCGGTTTATTCTTATCATTTGTTTCTATCCTAAATATTCTTCTTATGATAAAGGAAAACAGACAAGCACTTTCACTTAGTAAAAAGTGAAATATCCTGGCCATATAACATTTCAACAAGACGCGCCGTCGACTTTATTTTTTGCTTTTGATAATCGGACACAGACACAGACGGAAACTGAAACGCGATTCATTAAACATTTTTTCTGTTGTAGTTCTGACCCGGGCAGAATATTGATATTCCTTTCACCACCATGCAACTTAATAGTCATACAAAAAGTGTTTGAATATAATAGAATCTACAGTGGCCAAGTAGTAGTAACAAAAAAACACAATATTCGTGATATTTGTAATTTTAAAAGATTTTATAAACAAAACGTGACTGTTTAAAAAAAAACCTGTCAAACAGTAATCTTGAGCAACCGCATGTGGGGGCGACTCACACCCTATCTGATTTATTGGGACGTGTTTTTAGGGGTCCCGTGAAAAAAATGTAAAGAAATATGAACCGTTAATAACATCTACATATATAAATGAACAGTCATCTTTTTATTTGAAAACACAATACTTTTCTTTCATTTAAAAAACACACGAAGCGGGGGTACTATTGACCTCAAAACACTTATAATATAATCTTTAATAATTATCAATTCTTTATTCTTACGGAACAAGCCGATTTTATAAATCCCTTATAAACAAATTATTTTTCTGATTATCGTGACTAATAATTGTACAAGTCACCTTCTACAATAATATGTATGAAAGAATGAACTTTTACCATTATTTGCCTACTTGCGATGAACCAGTTTTTAATGGAATGAGTTTAATAAATGACATGTCTTGCCCTGTACACAATATATATTATTTTTGTTCACGCAAAGGAAAAGGACCTTTTCAAAAGTACTACGGAACACAAAAGCGTAGCCGGCAGTCGCGCTTGACATATTTTCGTGATCAATTTTAAATTAGGGTTATCTCACATAAGCCGGGTCTTAATTGGGGGCCCGTAGATTGACTAATGTGTTTTTAACAAAGGTTCTTTTTTTTATTATTAGCCCCTTTGATTATAAATTCCCTCTAACGATATGTGTGTGGAATGCTACGAAGCGAGTGTTTTAATTAGTATGAGATTCTTATACTTAGTATTGTCATGTGTTAGTGGTAGATTTTTTTTTTATATTGCACAACGGTACATATTATTTCTATAAATCTTTAGATATTAACGAATCTCTTTCTTACATTTATCATTAAATTTTTATTAACCTATTTTTTGAGTTTCTTTTTTACGCCTCCTGGGCAGTCCTTTTTACGCCTTAAAACAATGGCTTATATTTTTAAAACTACATGGGAAAGTAAAAAATATACGCTTCTTTTATTCGTATCAGTTCAACTACCAACATTATTTACAAGTCTTAATAAATAATTGCTTAAAATTATTTTAGAAGTGATTCTTATATTATTACTATGTTAGCATAGTGATATACTTTTAGTTTCTTAAATATTTACACATGGAAAGGTAAGATTAACAAGCTTGCTAAACATAGTTTTACAGTAGTGAAAGATCACTACTAAGATCATGTTCCAAAAGATGATTTACATTCAAAAAGGTTTATGGTGTTAGTCTTTGCTTAATCATTCCTTATCATCTGATTTTTTGTGGACAACATTCTGGGAACGGTGCACTCATGTTTCCAACTCGGAAGAAACCTGGGTCCGTACTAGGCTCGCATCTGAAATGACAAGTACATAAATAGGTATATTTATTTGCTATATCTCCAATATGCAATACTACTGTTTTTTCACATAGACATATATACATAGAGAAATTAGCGTTTTAATTACTCTAACTTACGATCTGATATGATTTTAAAAGTCTGTTCTGCCTTCAAACTGAGTAGGTTTAACTGGTTCAAGAATATACCTAAACTGCGGGAAAAAGCTGGTTGGAAATAAGTTTATATTGGATAGTTCCAAATAAGATGGGCGAGTCTTTTCAAACTTGTTAAAGTAACATTCTAATTGGCTCCTAAAAGTTGTAAAAGTGTTCTTCGATTCTTTATGTGCACAAATTCAGTGTAACCACGCGGTTACTAGGCGAAGTTAAAAACTACCTCGTACCCATTAATTAAAACTTTCATGCAAACAAATAACTATCTAAAATTTCAACTTGCTTTTTTACTCCTCGTTTGGGTAACTTTCAGCTTTGTGATGTGTGCGGTTTTGAAAATATCACCGAAAATTTTAGTTACAGTTACGCGTACAAAAATTTCAAAACATATTTTTGTAATTTTTGATCCGGTACATTATGTATTCGTGTCTGAATTCCGACGTACACGGGCATATAATATTATCACCTCCGGTGCAGGCGTTCGGTGTGCACTGCTGAACATAAGCTTTTGCATTTTTTGTATAAGTAGTATTTAACAAATATATACTAGTTACCTATTAGATATAAGCGTACCTCGGAAAGGATAGTTAGTGGCTTTCACTTATAAAAATGAATATTCTTGATTATTTAATATTTGACCTTAGGTAAAGTAGTTATCACTATAGATAATTATTATATATTATGGAACCAATTTGACCTTCAAAACGTTTTTAGGATCTCACTGGGATGGTAAACCCTAGCTAGATTTCTGATCTAAATTAAACCGGAGGATATAGTCTAAAAAGGTAATAATCAATATTAACTAGCTATTAAAACATTTTATTTGTTAATACAAATTAAGATATTTTGCAAGGTTTCCATAAAATTATGATGCAGGAAGGACTACAAGTTGGATTGATGGGTCTTTAATACTTTTAAAATTCATTTTTCCTAGCTTTGAAAGACTTCATTTACTGTCCACGTTTTTTTACAAGTGTAATGATAATTTGCTTCTATTCTAAATAATGTGGGCCTATTCAAATCAACGGACATTAAAAAATCTTTTATCAGCAAGACAGTGATAAACCACGTTAAGGGTTGGAACATCTGTCAAGACAAAAGGTTAGATTCCAGTGGTTTTTGTTGCATTAATTTGTCACCTTTTTTAGAACGGCGCCATTCATTTCAACCTCTTTGGTGTTTGACTAAGAGTTATTTGAATATGAAGTTAAAAATGTTTGGAATGTCCTGTTTAGGATAGATACGTTTGAAGGGAATTATAATATATAAAACTTTCATGTTTGAACTCATAATGACTTGATCAAACAATATCTATTTTTAATTATATGAGATCTCTTAACCTGCTATAAAAACAATATATCTACGAATATAACTACAAGTAGATCCTTAATTAGGATGCCTCTTTGATATTGTTTTTCACACGACTGGACTAATGATTTTAGTGCAAGGCTAATCCATACTGTAGTTCTCAGCCTAAAATTATTAAAATGATTTCAATGTTTAAAGATACGTTAACTTACTTTGTAGTCTCAAGATAAACTTCATAACTTGCGTCATCGACACTGTTAACTTGAAACAGACTTCGCTTCTCCCTCTTTAATTTATCCAGCTTGATAACTTTTCCAACCCTTTCCAGTTTGACATTCTTCCTCAAAGGCTTCAATAATTTGGATTTATCTAAAATGTTTGCTCTCACTTCATCCAGAATTTGTTCACTTAGCGGTTTAGATTTCCAGTCCGGTTCATTTTCGGCGTCAGTTTCAACTCCATCGTTTACTTCTTCTGAAGATCGTTCCTTTGATATTATTACCTTGCTGTTTTCGTCAGGTGCTATTTGAATTTGTGGTGGGTTTATAGCAGCTTTTTTCTTATAAGTATCTAGTTGAGCCCAAGGATAGTGATTATAATAGTAAGTAGGAGGGTAAGAACTGTAATTATAGTGATGAACGTATGAAAATGGATACGGTAGAAGCATGGGACCTGCAGAACGTTGTTGTTTTACATATGGTTTGATTAGGGATCTCTCGTTCCATGGTAATGGGAAGAGACTACCTTGAGGTTTAGAACATGGCCTAGTTGGTGGCTTGGTATAGGGTCGAGGGTATGTGGTGCACGGTCGCACTGGTGGTGGCGTTGGTATCGGATAACCTCTGTTATAGTTATACGAAGCTGATCGTTGAAAATTAGACATCGGATAGTAATATTGCATTCTACCATAGTTGTTCCTTACAACCGGCCCATTGTAATATGGAAGCGGAGAAGGATAGTAAAACGGAGGAAGTCTCGTACCTTCCTTGATCATATCAGTCAGATTTTCCGTGTGAGTTTGATGTAGAGGTTTATAGAAGTACGACTTACCATCTTTTCCATTTTTCTTTTCAGCATCTTTCTCTTTTAATGCACTCACCGTTTCTTTGACTAAACTTTCGGTGGTCGCACCGTCCATTTCTTTATATATTTCTTGAGCTAAGTTATAAATTTCTATTATTGCTTCCAAATCGCTTTTCCTAACTGTATGCAAAACATCAGTTATAGATTTTATTTCTGCCTCTGTTAGGTATCTGTCATTTTTACCCTCGAATTTGGGTCGCTCGTTCTGTTTAATTAATGTCTCTTTGTCATAAACTGGCCTCTTGTCTGGTTGTAATTTCTTGATTACAGGGAATAAGTAGCTTGGACTAGTACTCATATCATCCGTATGAAGATCTTGTTTTGTGATATTTACTATCATTGGCATATATTCGATCTCCGTTTGGTTCTTTTTTCTTAGTTTGCAAGTGTAGTTTCCACAAAAAGTTTTTGACGGCCATGTTGCATTAACTGGATATAATTTGTATGTGTCTGGATCTTGACAGTAAAAACCTGCAACATGAGAAATGTATTTTTAGTTTTAATTAAATTTGATTAAATTTCATTGATAAGAACGAGAATGTAGCAAAGAAAGTAAGGAAACGTCGAATTTGTTAGTCTGAAAACATTCCCAAAATAAAATTATACGATATTAAAAAATCTCAAATGCATATTTGAAATTTTTTTAAAGTTATAGTTTGTGAGCGATTTTTAGTTTACTATTGAATTAGATTACGTAAGACCACTATTGCATAATTGATACTACTACTAGAAAACAATAGATGTAATTGAATGCGTCCAAATTTATTTTATAAACAATATTTTAACCATGTAACAACACAACAATACTCGCGATGGAAAACAAAAGGTTGATTGCTGCATTTTGTTTTGGTGTAGCCCTCTTTTATGTTTCTCTTAATTTTAACATGCAGTTTTGGATTACAAAGATTTTTTTGATATTCGTTAAGCGGTTATTTCTATCCTATTCGAACATTTGTATTGCTTAAATAAAATTATTAGTCCTCAGAATAAAACTGAAATAAAATAACAATTTTAAGGATGACTTAAGCGAGAAACGTCGTTATGAAATATATTAAATAGCATATTTTTAAAATCCACTGATTTAAACATTGAAATTATTGTCTGTACAATAAATTGGAACCGTGAAGGACGGCTATAGTATTTCAAATAATACAATTTCAATAGAAGGTACAACACAATGTTGACAATGGCACTTGGGACAGCTGAGTGGCAAATATTTTCCAACAATTGCAAACTACGGTAACCTTATACCACTGTCAGGCAGGTATGACTTAAAAGCGTGACTCTGCGCGGAATTAGTATACGAAGTGCCTTACAACCCAGTACGTAATACATTTTTTTCCAAACTCAAAACACACACATTTACGTTAACCGGTCCGGAGTTTGAAAAATAAACTTTTTTTTGGTCAGAGAAACTAATCCACACAAAACCCCATGATCCACGTTGAGATTTCGTATGTTCACTGAATCGACTGCTGTTATGTCGTTCCTTAAAAAATGCGTGAAAAATATTTCTATGAAACAAAAAGCTTTAATGGTGTAAAAATAAGTCGGCAAACCTTTAACAGATTGAGTTGCATTCGCTCCGCAGATAATAATTAAAATGCACAAATAAAAAATCATTTTGTACGGATACGCGCGCGATGTTATTGTAACTAGCGGACACTGCATTTTGTCATTCATATTGTTATGATTTCAATTACGTTTGCTATTTACAATGCTTCCCAAACTATGGCTTCCTCGACACATTGAACGAATAAAACATAGATTTTAAAACTTCGCACGACTTTTTACCATATTTGAACAAAATCTTTAGAATAGATCTCGTGACAGCAATAGGATCGTCTATACCGAACCACCGATTAATTACCCCATAAAATAAAATATGTAAGCAAACTTTTACTTTTCATATTTATTATAAAATAAAAATGTAGTAAGTAAATGTTTAACAAAGCTAATGAAATAAGTTAGAATTCTAAAATTAAAAAATCTAAAATAAATTGAAAAACAATTTCGACTCGGGCTGGACTTGAACCGGCGTCGTCAGCGTTCCGTGCTGTTTCTCTAAGTTAGAATAATTTTTTCATTGTTAATTAAACAAAATACTTCATTACCAATACAATATGACGTTTAGTACTTTAAAATTGATCAATTGTGATTTAACTCTAAATAATTAAATGATATTTTGAGTTTAATGCAGTTCTAGTACTGTCTTGCTCTTTTAATTAATTATCTTAAGTCATTAGCTGTATAGTTTGAGCATCGCTGGCTTTTATTTCGCAAACGTGACAGAATAAAATAACAATATTACGACAGCCGTTCAAATTACTGACACAGATGCTATCTACTTTGATGATGTAGATTATGAGTGTAGTGATATGAGGCGATAACGTCATCATACTTTTAACACGCCTCAAATGTGGATGAGAGATGTAGAAAAACGGCCGTGACAGTCCACTACCCACAGGCTGCTACATAAATGACGGACTGACGAAATATAACCGCCACTTATTCTTCCGTAATCGTCAAGAAGCGAAACGTGCAAAATTTTGGACGTGAAAAGTTTGGACCCGAAATGGTCAAGTCTTTGCGCGTCAAACACCAACTTCTGCAAAACATAAACTCAGTAAACTTGAAGATATATCATTAACCTACGAATAGGTACTTATCCTCTATAGGATATATCCTTTATATTCGAATAGGTATATTTTCTAAAGTTTGGTAAATAAAATGGAAAATAGAACTACGCTAGTAAAACATTAGAATCATAAAAATGTAAATTAAAATCTTTTGTGTAATTGAAGTGAAAAATTGAAGTGTATTTGCATTTAAAAAGTTAATAAGCATTAAAACTACTAAGAAACTCAAGTAAAATAATCTTAAGTACCTATTTTGTTACACTATTGTTTATATATTTCTTAATAAATGTGACTGTGTGAAGTGTGTATAAAAGATACCTAATAAAAGAAATGTCAAACTGTATCGCTTATGTTAGGTCGGCCTCTGAAGGGGGCACAGAACATCAGTGTTGGGACATTCGTCCCAGCGTACTAGCTGAGACAAAGGCAACTGTACTGTTTAGTATTATGCTTATCGTATAATATTATGTTTATAATTCTATAGTATGTTTTGTAAAATTAGTTTATTATTGTAAATTTGTGTTGTTCTTCTTACCCCGTCACCCCGGAGACATTAGATTTATATGGCTAATAAACTCGGGATTAGTTCCTAGTCCAGCAGAGAAATGGTGGTAGGAATATCTTAAAATGCCGTAAACTAAAAAATCCGTTTTTGGTTAGTGAAATCGTAATATTTCGCTTTAAAAAAAAACTACAGTCATTAAGTATATTAAGTAATTTTCGTCCAGATCTCACCAAAACCAAAAAATCTCAACAATTTAACCGTCTCATCTCCTTCGTTGCCGCCTATTAATGTCTTACTATTGGGTACATGTCTCCTCCATAAGAGTTGGTAAAAATCCCATAATTTTGTTCCTATGGGGGCTGGCAGGCTTTAACCACTACCGCTAATATATTGGTAGTGATAATCAGGATCGATGTTTAGCGTGCTTTTCGAGTCACGAGGTTGATGGCACTTCTTGCTTCAAACTCCGGGTGGTACCAAAAAGTTTAGGAAAAATTCTAAATTCTGATGTAGCATTGCGCCTGAGGATTCAAATCCGGGACCGCGTAAATTACAGTCGATTTCAGTAACCACAAAACCAAAATTTATTGTAACTTGGTAGAAGTGATTATTTAATGAACAATTCCTGTTTAAATATAATCGAAAGTAAATGTATGAGAACTGAAGCTTTGCTTGTGTAATTAAAATCGAGTATTCACAGTTGAGTCCGCAGCTCTCGACCGTATAAAAGTCAAATTGCGATATTAACTGTGGCACATCGTTTACAGAATGTTTACAAAAAGTCGAAAAACATTGGAAAATATTCTCATTCAGCGGCATTCGTTCGCTCGTTGCGAGTGACCTAGCAAAATATTAGCTTCACTCCGCGGACCGCGATGTTTTGAATTTTACATACTGTGGATTTTACCTCTATGCGAATGGTGAATGGGGACTCAAAGATTGCACTGACACTTACTGGCGGCTCTGGGATTGACGCCACAGATTTTAGGGCGGGTACTCACTATCAGAAACTAAAAAATACATAAGCTTTTTAAATCTCGTCTTGAACTGATCCTTTGAACTTTAGTTAATTACCCACGATGTTAAGGCAAAAATTAAAAAAAAATCAATGTAAATAACAAAGGAACAACTACCAATCTAAATAAACAAAAAATAAACATAGTGTGAACGCGCCAAGCCCTATTAAATTTTCAATCTTAATCTCAAAATGGTCATAGGTTACTCTACTAAGGTTCTCATTTCATCCTTTAGCGGCGATTACAAAGAGGTTTAATATCAAAAACAATTCCATACAGGACAACAACCTGAAATTATAGCACACAGCGGGAGACTAAAACACACTCTACAGCAAAAACGTCTTTAACATGATTAAAATACGGTTGAAAACTGATTGATGCATATAGATATTTAAAATAGTGTAGCAGAACATAATTCATACAAAAAGAAACCGTAAATTAATGTATGTAAGTAAAATAATGGTGTGTAATGACAAGTTAAATTACACGCTTCTTAACTCACTCAGCGGGTGTTGAGGTGTCAGAAAAAACGCCGGACGTGTGAAGATGGCAAAATTACCATGCAAATGGGATTAAGCGTGGTGCCTGTATTTAAATGTTATTGGTAGGGAAGGCGCAGTTTTGAATGACGTCCAATATAAAGTGTAATGCCGTTTGTCCCTGTGGGGCATGGGGGCGAACACATTCTTGTGTGAGTTTCGCTACAGGAAAGTAAATAATTACACCCTGCCCGATCGAGACTAATTATGTTTTCCCCGGAATTTGAATCCAACGCTAGGCAATGCGTTCAACCGCTGAACTGCAGATGCAGTCTAATATAATTTGAAATAATGAGTGCAAAAACAACAATCTACGCCAGTGCATTGGTTAGGAAATGATCTATAATGACTATGATAATAAAAATTACTTTATTTTGGCACTCTTCTAGTGATATTTTACCCACTATCAAGTGAAGTCTATAATAAAAAACTAAAGATCTTTAATTTCCTATTAATTTTTATCGCTATGTTGCGAAATAAGCATGTAGGTAATTCGTATGTTCACCGTACGAGATAAACAGTAATAATAGCTCATAGAAAAGTAATAGTACATTTAAGCCTTGTTAAACCTCCAATCACATGTCGGTATTTCGTTCGGCACGCGATACCACCATTCCCTCCGATTCAAACCGAACACTTAGATTTGTTCTTTTTATACCAACCTTTTCTACTCACGTGATCGCGTTTCCACCTTTGCTCTTTTGTTCGCTATTTATTATAGTTTATTCGTATATATCGTTCTGTCGGCCTTGGAATTCTGAAGGCAATAGACCATAGCTTAAGCTAGCTTGTGACTCAATTGAAGGCAATATAAAAGCGGGCTCTAAAATATACCAATATTTCTAAATAAAATTCTACAAAACTAACAAACAAAACATGCTTTATTGTCACCACTAGAATATTCCAAATAATATTTAATTTGAAGAGATTTAAAAAATTATGTAGCTAAAAAAGACGGCCTTATCGTCAAAAAGCGAGTTCTTCCAGGCAACATAAAACATGGAGGATTTACAAAAATAATTCATAATAAGGTAAATTCTAACATCATCATCATCTCTACATCAATTGAAATTAATATCGCTCAGATTTAGCTTCAGAGCATTTGGTCGTGGATTCGAGGAAACAAACATTATAATTTACTAGCTTCCAAAATAACTATGGTATGGGACGAAATACGCATACCATAGTTATTTTGGGTGTCAAAATTTGTTTTTGCGAATTTCCTCCTCATCTTTATAAATTGTGTTACCCACGACATTCGTATCACGTCATTCGGGTTGTTCTTGTTCATTTTAAAATATAGATATATAGCGTCAGCTTTTTTTTTAATCATTTAAAGAGGAATGATCCTTCCATGCATATTGTTTTGGTTTCTTGAACCGTTTTCACAGCGCACGCAACGGAAAGCCTGCAAAATAAATAATTTTTCCCGTTTTTGTCACATTTCCCGCTGTTTCTTCGCTCCTTTTAGTCACGGCGCGTTGTTATAGCCTATAGCCTTCTTCGATAAATGTTCTAAGTAAAACAAAAATAATAATTCAAATCCAAGCAGTAGTTCCTGAGATTAGCGCGTTCAAATAAACAAACTCTTCAGCTTTATATATTAGTAGAGATATAAGGAACTTTATGCAATATCCTCCCAAACTAAACACGATTAAAAAAAAAGAACAATCACAATTTTAGCATATCACTGTCGTTCGGGCTGTTCGGCCGATGTGAGCGAGAAGAGGTTTTCGACGTTTCGCCTTCTTAGCTTTATTTGGACTATCCAAGAGTTAAATTGATTTTTTATAGGTTTTCCTCGTACAACCTCATAGTACTCAAACCTTATCCCCCAAATACATATTTTATTATTACCATACTTACTTAGACATCCTTTGTACCAGACAATTAATTAAAATGAAGTTATGAAATAAGTTCATTTAGATAACAAATACAGGGTGATTTAATTGACAGCTCAATGATTGAGTTATCCATTTCGTTAACGAGAGATGATTCACCTTTTTTTTGTCATTAAATTTAACTGTGAAGTTAACCAATTCATTACTTTTAATAACAGTTTTGATTTAAAACGAAGATGCGTCTGGTACTTTAAGATTTTGTTAAGAAGGAAGCAATAACTAACTCTTCTCTCTAACGCAGATTAAGAACTAATTCTTGTTTTTCGCTTTTAACAATAAAAAATAAAGCTAAATTTCGATCTAGCGTTTCACAAGATATTTTAGCAACCGTAGACATAAAGAACTTTTTAATAGATATTTACCACACCACTAGAAAGTATAATTAAATCTTTTTATTACGTCAAAACAGACTGACTTATAATTATATTTTTAACATAGTTTATATTTCATGCGGTAGATACACGGTGATTTCACATTTCAATATGAACTGATACATTTTAAATGACATAGTCTGTTTAGACATCATTTGAACAGCCCAAACGGTAACCTACATTTCACAGCCACCGAAGTTCGTGGAGCAATATATTTTTACAACCTTTAAAGAAACAGGCACTCGTTAAGCCCTGGCCTGTACAGTGATGTATTACTGCAGTCGTTACTACGAAATATTGTTAACGATATTACTCCAGGCAGAAGTTGGGGCCTGACTTTTAATTTAACGCATCCTGTATATGCCCATTGTATTCCCTGTTGTTTTTGCGATTTAGTTAAGAACAATTGAATTTTCTCATATTTTTACCGCCTTCGCGTCTAATGTATTGCAAAATTATCTTAGTGCAAACATTTCATCAATATTGTTAGTTTAGACGTGATACAGTAAATTTACTATACTACTTTACTAAGACCATACGGCGGATATATTTAGATGTTTCGTTTCGGTAATCGATTTTGTTACAGTCAACTCGTTTTATACCTGGTCGAGCGAAACATTTTGTATTGTTTACCTGGGATTCCAACTCATTACATTCTTCACGCATTGCAACGGGTTTAACCAATTAACCACATAAGGTGGCTAGGACCTACTTATAACAAGACAAATATTTGAGTTAAATTACAATTTGTATAGAAATTACAAACGAAATAATTTCTATACAAATTGTATTATTTAAAATAAAGAATACAACTTTTATTTAACTTTGTTTTGTGTGTGTCAGACATCCTTTGTTCATAAATTATCCTCTCCAATAAACTTTACCCCAGCTGACATAACTAAATAATTCCCACGACGATTTTTTTTATCTGTACGCCGTTATGTTATGAGCTTTTATTGTACAAAAGATCGCACTAAATCACTATAAGTATGTAAATGGCTCATCTATTTTAATTAGTCGCTTCGATTGTATGTATGTTTGATGTATGGCCTATAGAGCTATGAAAGTTTAGACATAATCAATTATTATTGTCAATAATTGATTATTGTCTGTATGCTTAAGTGTTATCAAAACTATGAAGGCAATAATGTGTTCTTATAAAAATATATATTTTTTTCTAAATAACTCTCAGTTAACCACTTGGTTATTTACAAAGTTATACAGTAAGCTGTAGACTGAAAGCCAAACGCAAATTAACACTACGGCTTTTATATCTGTGGACGGTGGTTCGTAACTCGCACGGAATTACTATTAGGTTACTATTACCACTAGTTTAATATCCATATTTTCCAAATGGAGATTCAATTTGGAAAACAATAATTTTTAAAATGTACAATCTAAAAAACAAACGAACTAAGTACTTGTTGCTTACCAGCGAAACTTCTACGTTTTATCAAAGGCACTTTCTCATATATTCATCTCGTCTATAAAACGCTTGGGGCTATGGTCTCTCATTCCCTACAATATAATTGGTAGATTCTTGGAGCGATACTGATTCCACGCCTCCGCACCATTCCTCTTTACATTCACTGTTTATTTATTGCCACGGGAAGGGGCTTCATTTGTTTTTAACCGACTCCCCAAAGTGCGGAGGTTTCGTCAACAACGCCTGACGTCTTAGAGTTATACACTTTATATGTTAACTTAAGAGTATAATAATAATAAATATTCGGTAAGCACCGCAACGAGGTAATGAAATATTATCCCTTTGCTGACAAAGGACAAAGTGAAACTTTCTTTTTCAGCAAATGGGTGTCAAATAAATAATGTTAATTGTTTCGTGAATTTCGTGTTGTCGTTTGTTTCAGGAAAGAGATATATATCTTAATTTATAATTATTTGGTTATTACTATATAGAAGTGTTTTTTGTTCTATCACATGTATTCATTGTTTCCTTCTGATTTTTTTTTTTATTCCATAAAAGTACTTCTGCGCAACAACTTATGTAAACTTGTTAGGGCATGAAAATATTTCAAATTTATGACTAGTGAGTTCTTGTAAGTCAATCTTAAAGCGATAGACTTATACTGTCCTGAACATTTTTTTAGATTATTTTATAAAGTACAATTCTTTTGTGCATATTATTTGGGTATCTTGTACCTAATTAAATGGTTCAACCAAACCAAACGCACAACTAGGTCCTGAGATTAGTGCGTGCAAACAAACAAACAATTTTTTAAGCTTTATAATAATTAGTATAGATAAATAAAAGACCGTGTCTATCCATAAATCCGCCATCATAATTCCGTCAATTGAGCAATAACAACGCGCATAATACAGGATCGTTAAAAGTTATTTGGCGCGCTCGCCCCGCCCGCTTGCCAAACGAGCTCAGTCAAATCTTCACTTTTGCCAATTCGCATGCTATAAAGAGTTTAAACTTTACCCGCCGCGATTTAAACGATATCGATAACTGCTTTATGTTCGAAAAAGTTGATAACGCCGCTGCATGTCGATAAAACATGCTCTCTAGGGGAGAAATGGTTTTCCAGTCAAAATACAAGAGATAATTTTATGGCTAATGACTGTTACACTGTTGTCTTATGAAAGAAAAGGACAGACAAGTTTTGAAAAAAAAAAAAAAAAAACCTTGGTATCGACCTATTAAAGATTTGGAAAGAAAAAGACAGGCATTTAACTCGATCCCACTTGTATGGAAAGTTAGTTTAAAGCCTAAAGATAATTTAAATAAAACACTTTAACGGTTTAAAACGCGATATAGTGGTCACGGGGAGACACGGCTGCTGCAAAGCATCCGAAACGTCGGGCCGAAGTTAAAAATAATTTCCAAATAAGTTTGACTAATATATCGCGTTTTAAACCGTTAAAGTGTTTTATTTAAATGTGTACTACTCGCGTAAACTATAAACAGTATTTGCCTAAAGATAATTCCTGCAACAAAAATAATCCTACTATTCTTAAAAAAAAAAATTGCTCAGAAAAGATGGAAGGTGACGGATAGTTCCAGACCTTCACAGTTTTAACTAAGGGCCCTGCACTGATGCGAGTTGTCGACTGCCTACTAGAGCTTTATTTCCTATCTTTTATAACTGTATCGCACTGACACTTACTCCCAAACTCCAGACGCCATTCCATTTCGCTAGATATTCGAACCGAAACCTCTAGGTCTGTAGCGGATTGCACTTACCTCTATACCATTATATGCTAACACGAGTACGTGTGCCAAACACATTTCTGGGTCTATTTTAATGGTCGGTTTTATTTACAGGCAAGTAGCTGATCATACTACTGTGTCCTGCTCGACCGAAACAATCTATCGTTCCCGCGGCATAAGAACCCAGTACCTCTTACTGTTAACGCATTGAGAGGTGACAGAGGCGGTCAGTTTTTGTTATTAATTACAAGTAATTAAATTAATTACAAAAGGACATCAAGCAGCGCGTACGCTCACATTTTGTGATAATGATAATGATAGACGTCGATAATTTAAAAATGATTGAAATAAAGTAATTTACCACAACAATGAGCCGTTGTTAGTCAAGTCGCATAACAATAGGCCACCGCACAATAGCGTCTTCACGATGTGACCCCCGGGCCTTTAGCGCCGATAGTGACAAAGGGTTAATTGGTTCAAGAACCTGTTTGCTGCGCTTTTAATACTCATCGAGTTCAGGTTTCTTTGTAACGTAAAGACGCCGCATTTGTTTGTCATAGGAAGCATAACTTATAACGAAATTTAAATAAAGACGGTTAAAATCCGTGACCATGGCTGCTGCAAAGCGTCTAGACTTCGCCTGGAAAATAATATCAAATTGGTGGTAGGATAGGTTTTAATCATACAATATTAATAAAAACTATTTTAAAATTTATAAAGCCATCATGTGCAGAAATATTAAAATTTTCAAACCGAGAATTTATTAAAAACGTCAGGCCGTAGGTACTTAAAATTGATAAAATGTTAACACATATAATTCGCGCTTTAAACCTCGAAGTGTTTTATTTAATTGGTATTAAACTTAACTGCAATTACACTATATGCATTGAATAGTTAGGACTCCATTGTCATAGAGGCGAGTCAATTTGTGGGGACCCGGTGAAAACACGACTCGGAACAAATAATGAGGCGGAACCGATGATTGATGGAGAATCACTGCCTCGCCTAAGGCCTTACCTAGTGCCAGGGCATCGTCGCGAACCTTTTTTATAAGCGGAAGCGATTTAACCAAAATTTACCTACTAAACTAAACTAAGACTAAAAGAGCTTAAGCGGCTCAGTTAAACCCCGGAATAATAAACCGCGTTTCGGTTTCAGTCTGTGGGTTTCCAAAACCAAGACAGGTCGACTGCGTATCTTGTTTATATGTCATATCGGTGGGGCATATATCACTTTCCATCAAGCGATCTCCATACTTGTCTGTTCTTCTCTATGATAACTCTATGAATACTACTATTGTGTTTTTTGTGTTAGGGCCACCGATATAAAGCCGGGTAATTAGTCTAAATTATCTACTAACCATTTCACCCATTCTCCCCTTAAGCAAGTTAGGTTATCCAATTGTTATAATTATGTTGCACAAGTTTTAAGACAACATTTGACATGAATCATTGTCAGTCATCATCATCAGTTGTAAACTGTATTCTTGTTTTGTCCTTTACCTCGTAGTCGGTATGTTCATAACATTACTCTCTTTAGATATTTTCTTACATTTAACCTTGCACACTTGACTGTTTTCGCTAACTGCCCAATCTCTTGCGAAGCTACGCTCAAGCGTGGACTTGACCCCAGTAAACTATTCAGCCCCACGATGATCCAGAATATAGACATAAACAGTAACCGCTGCCTCTCATATACAAATACTCGACCCAATTCCTCGTTAGCGATTGCCAAGTCACGGCGCCATCATAAACTATGTATGTAACCATACTCCATGCATGAGCATTTTTGTTCGCGAAGCGCGGAATTAGGACAAGGTGAGTTGGAAGTGATAAACGTTTTGATAGCGCTTGATTATTGTACTAAGTCATTACTTTTGAAAGGTCGGCGAAGGAAATTTTGTTTGAAGTTTATTTATTTCAATTTTCTAAGCATCAAGGAACCGTGACTACCATTGCTTATAAGACAAAAACTGTTGACCGATACATATATTTCTCGTTTTATACCTACTATACGTTTAAAAAATGAATGAAATATAATATTTTAATAATAAAATATTTTACTACTATACGTTTAAAAAATGAATGAATTATAATATTTTTAAAGACTACGCGAGTTAGTGTTAGTCTAGGTTTCGTTTCGTGTAAAACGCTAAATGTATTAATTAGTGAACTTTTGAGACGTGGTCACGATGGGACGTAACGGCTGCTGCGACTGCATCTATCGTTGCCTTATTTAAAATTAGTTTACTAATATATTTTACGTTATAAACCGTTTAAAGTGTTTTATTTAAAAGTAAGCGCATAATCTTTTGAAATCTACAATAAATGAACTTTATGGCAATGATTCTTTTTCTTACTTTTAAAATAACTGAATTAAGCCCAACAAACAAATCTGTTTTGAAATACTAGCATAGATGCATAATAAAAAATACACCGTTGTAAAAAATCGAAAGGGATTAATTGAAAAGTTTTCAAAGCGCGTTTTGTTTTCATAAATAATCTAGTCGACGCACAGCTTTGCCAATAAAAGCCCGCTGCACATTTGCCTCTAGCTTTTTAACGCAAAATTAGCGTATAAAGCGATAAATATTTCAAACGCGCTGTCCATAGATAAGCGGCCAATTGTAGAGCTGGCGGCGAGCCAAACGGCAGCGCCATCTGTTATTGAATAGCAGTGATTGATATTGTTAAAGGCATGATAGAATAATGCATGGTGCGACAGCCTCATCATGCGACGTACTAATAAACTAGTATTGTAATGGCATGGTTATCGCAAATAATAGTAAAATAGCGCATAAGTAAAACAATGTAGCCCAGCGTTAAGAAGTCTTCTGGTTTGGTCCCAGTACAGCATCAAACTCTTTTATCTAAGATTAGATTTTAACCTTTATCTAATTGTTGTAGTGTTGTTTTTTATTAGAATCGTATATATAATACTAGCTGTACCAGCGACTTCGTCCGCGAGAATCGTTATTTTGGGCATTCAAATTAATTTTTGCAAACCCTGTCATCTTTATAAACTTAAGCTGTTAGCCACGACATCGATCGCGTCCCTTCCCGTCGTTCTTGCAAGTTAATCTTAAAAGATAGACATATAGCGTCACGGACTTTTTTTAGGTAATTTAAATCGTTTTCGCAGAGTACGCATTTGAAACCCAAAGAGATGAAAAATTTCCCCTTGTATCTTCGCTTCTATTAGTCACAAAGCGATGTTATAGCCTATAACCTTCCTCAATAAATGCTCTAACCAACACAAAAATATTTTTTCAAATCGAACTCTTAGTTCCTGAGATTAGCGCGTTAAAACAAACTCTTCAGCTTTATATATTAGTATGGATATAGTAGATCTTTATGTTAAATCATCACACATCCGTACCATCATTCACTTTCTAACACCCACATATGTTATTCACATGTTAAAATTCATATGTACGTCATCACGCCTACCTCGCTTCAATGTTATAGAAGAGTTTGAGTAAAGTAAATATTCTATAAGAAAGGCTTTGAATTTCGGGGGCGTTAATTTTAATATGTATTTTAAAGTTATACAAGAAACTAGCTTTGTTCACGACTTCGCCCGAGTTTCTTTTTGCAAATATCCTCGTCTTTATAAACTATAGCTGTTACCCACGGTGTTATCCGCGTTCCGTAGTTACTTGCAAGTTAAACTTAATTTTGATTTTGATTTTGAATCGCCTAAAAGCTTATGCATTTTGTTCGCTGTGTAAAACCGGAAGTAGCACACCATTACTTATTATTCCATACGTAATGTATTGTACTGACATAACACCGTGATGATATTACTAGTGATAACGCGATATCATCTCCTTTGTGGCGCGATATGACGGCATATATTATTTTGTTAACGTTAATGATGTGCTGTTACTGTTATTGTGCTGTTCTGCTGTTCGTTGTGTGATAATGAATTTGTTATTGTACAAACACCTATATAAGCGTCCAAAAATTTTGAGCTCCGTATACATTTTAATAACCGAACTATTTAGAGTCATTTATCTACGGCCCGACGTTTCAGATCCTTTGCAGCAGCCGAAACCAAAAGTACACATTACTTAGCGTTTAAAACTATTCAAAGTATTTTATTTCAATGTGTACTACTCACGTGAATTACAAACAAGATGTATCTAAAGTCCGTTTCGTTAAAGGGATATTCAGTTCCTTATTCATTAGTTATCCACGAACCCTGATAGAAAACATTGCCAGCTAAGGCATTGAACTGATTATTTTTTGAGCTTACAAGTCTTTTGCGACATCACCTTTTAGTAAAACCTAGTTTTATATGAATGTGAAACAGATAATCGTGTTGACAAGTCTGCTTAGCAATCTTTAGGTCAGGACTTTGATCCTCAACCATACATCCATTTAAGGCTTGTATACTTTCTAAGATGGCGGTGGTGATGATGGCGTGTAATATAATTTAAGTAAGAAAACAATAAGCGTAATTATTACTTGTGCAAACTGTTACTTCGTTATAAATAGATACGATTTCTTAAGTAGAACAATCGTTACTTGTTATCCTGAATTAACTCAACAACAAAGGAATGTAAATATTTATTTCAATTAAAAACACTGTTTAACACTCGTTAAAAATGTAGGAAATGCAAATCCGCGCCAAAAGAAGGAACAGTAATTAAACTAATGAATTTAAAATTTCCCGTCTGCAATCGACACGGGAGTGTTTCACATAAAGGGGAACAGAAAAAAGACCAAATTTGTATCTCTTTGGCAAGCTTTGACAGTCGACATTGAAACAAATGACTTCGAAAAGAACGGCATAACGTTTAATGCCTTGACAAGTACTAACATTCCTTTTTCATTATTAAACTTAAATTAAGTTACACAAATTTTGAGTAATTATTTTAGTTCAATATTTTTGCCTCACTACATTGATCTACTTATCTATAATGAAACTGTGGTATATAATTAAATTTAGTATTTTCGAGGATGCGAGTGATGCGGAA